TTTTCACAGCACTTTGCTTTTTAAAAAAAATGAAAATTCATCAGAATTTTAGTGCAAATTTCTCCTGTAGTGCAAATTTTTCTGTATGTAAATTTTGATGGATTTACACATTTTTGCATGCAGTGAGCTTGAATATTGCACTCACTTTACTTATGCAATCACAACCTTTCATGGTGGTGGTGGTGGGGAAATAAAATAAAAAAATGGAGATGTGGGGAAACCCACCACCCACTTCTCTCAATTTATTTATTTTTTCCTCACCCATGCACCCAGCAGTTTTCCTCACTTAGTAGGCTTTAGGTGGTAGAGGAAGAAAAAGATGTAGGAAAGTGGTGCTTTGGTGGGGTGCCCAAACGCAGAGTCCCCCTGCCCAGCGCACCTAACTGCTGAGGGGTAAAATGAATGGACACAACTGTCTGGTATTTGTAATGGCCACAACTTTACTGATTTCAGATATAGGAAGCCTAGGCATATGCATTGGGTGTGTATTACCCCCAGCCCCTCCCCTGCTGGAGGACTGACGCACAACAGGGTCTATGTGGGGGTGGATCCATCACAAAACGCAAGTTTATGTGGATGGCCCCCAAACGCTCAGGTAAGCTCTATGGCCCCCTAGCCCTAACAACTGGCTTTTTGGACAGAGACTTCCCTCCAGACCCCTCTAACGGGGCACCCTGTTAACGTCACCATTAACGGGGGGGGGGGAGTTACCACTTCACCACACCCCAGTTGGATGAAAGACTATAGGATTCTGCCCAAGGCCTAAATCGCCAAAGTTGTGACTAATGCTATGGAGAAGGCAAAACCTGCAGAGCAGGGGAAATTCCTTCCTGGCTCTGAATACAGCACCCATCAAAAGACCACAGCAAAGCCTGGCTAGCCGAAAAGAAATGGTTAGAGCAGTAATCAACTATTAATGAAGGGAGGGGAAAGGTGGGTGACTCTCCCAGCCAACTGAATGCTGTGCTGAGTGGTTAGCCGAGCTAAGTAAATGGCCATGCCCCACCCCTGGACCACCACGGATTGGCTCATTTGAAGGACGGGTTTGACGGGAACCCATGGACCTCTGCGGTGGCCAGAGGGGATGGGGAAACATTCAAAAATCGCACTGTGCATCATGCGATAGAGGAGGCATCACACTGGGCCGCAACCGGCAAGATGGTAAACGGCCATTCTACATGCGATCCTAGCTGAATCCCACAAATATTTCAATATATCGTTTTGAACATCTGATCTGACTTTGCAGAAGCTCCTCTTCATCATCATATTGCCATTTGCCGTATTTCATCCGCCTGCATCAGCTACTCTCGCATTCTCACAAAATGAAAAAAGCAAAGCAAAACAAAACCCAAAGCACAACAGGCCCATAAATCTTCAGTCAAGCTCAGAGCTCTTAAATCTATTACTCCCCTCCACCCTGCAAAGTTAGCAGCCTTCCCTGAGGCAAACTATGCATCAGCCTGCCCATTCAGAAATCACACAAACAGGTCAGCAAAAAAATGAGAAAAAATTCATTTCCCAGAGAAGGAAATGAATTCAGCATTTGATTCAATTTCCATTTGAGTCACTTTTAATTTTATTTTTTTAATTAACTTCATTTGCTCTGCTTGTTTGGCAAACAAAATCTATAGATAAAAAAACAAAAAGTGAAACTGGGAGGGAGTATAGATTTTTAAAAATCTGGATTCACACCTTCCTGCACCATTAAAATTGGCTGAACACAACTTTCCCTTTCAGCATTCAGCTCTATTCTGCTTCATTTCCGGAAGGGCAGTTGAGTGTCAGCACGTTCCTTTAGGCTATAATTGAATATAGAACATGCTATTTCTATTAGACCTTTGTGAATGGGACAGAGAGTGTCACGCTGTTAATATAACCACTCCATCTTTTCAAAGTCAGCGGCACATATTAAATGCTGCTGTCTCGGTCGGGGCATTCACACAGTCAAAATTGCCCCAGTATGGGGCCATATTGGGTCTAATTTTGTGCAAGGTATATTCTAGTAAACTCATGTCAGATGTGTGGCAAAGACAGAGGCTGAACAGTGGACCGTGAAGCTGAGTCGGGATATCTGTTGAAGAAAACACACTAACTTTCTCCCCTAAGTTGCTGTCATAATCTGAAACCTATGCCACTTGAAAAACTGCCTCCTGTTCTAACTGGACTCAGCTTGCCTGCTTCCTAAAGATAGGGGAGAAAATTGGTTCACATTTTAATGTGAACCAAACTAATCATCACTCCCTGAAATCAATGTGTCAAGTGTTGTCAACTTTCTAGGCTTGTGGGCATATTTGGATTTTTGACGGAGTGCAATGGAACCACCATATTCTAGTCACTTGAAGGAAAACAAAGAGAGAGAAAGAGGGTCATGACACTTCCACTCACTTTCAACTTAGTTAACTTCGAACAACTTCCAAAATGAATAATAATGAAAATCCTATTAGAAACACTATGGTAGCACTGAGAGTTTGATAATCACGCTATTTTGCTGTGTTTCCTTCATTGCAGGGAGTTGGACTAGATGACCCTTTGGGTACAATTCTATGATTCTACAATTTTACGAGCAAGAGGCAGGTGGGAACCAGGACAGTGAGATTCCCAGAGGCCTCTGGTTGGGTACTCTGAAACATGGAAATGCTGGGCTAAATGGACCTTTGGTCTGATCCAGCAGGGCTCTTCTTAGGTTCTTATCACATCAAGTGGAGATGATTGCTGCTGTAAGCGCCCCAGATATTGCTGGCTTTGAATACAGTGGTACCTCGGGTTAAGTACTTAATCCGTTCCAGAGGTCCGTTCTTAACCTGAAACTGTTCTTAACCTGAAGCACCACTTTAGCTAATGGGGCCTCCTGCTGCCGCTGTGCCGCCACTGCACGATTTCTGTTCTCATCCTGAAGCAAAGTTCTTAACCCGAGGTAATTATTTCTGGGTTAGTGGAGTCTGTAACCTGAAGCGTATGTAACCCGAGATACCACTGTACAGCTATTTCTGGAGAACAGATTCTTCAGCTATGGCATTCAGTTTTTTAAATACCAGTTACTGGGGATTTCTGGTGGGTTCATGCCCAGCTTACAGGCCACTGTGAGAATAGAGCACTGGACTGGATGGGTCATTGGCCTGATCCAGAAGGCTCTTCTTATGTTTCTGCTTCCTGGACCAGATGCCTCCCTACCCCTGGCACAGAAAGATAAAGGACACACACACACACACATGCACCACACACTTTGCTTTATCAAATGGTGTGGATAAAATTGAGAGCAAGTAGAATACCTCTGAGCACATAGAGCTAAAAGAGGAAGTGGGAAAGGGGCCACTTTTCTGTCTTCCTTTCCCAACTTTATTTACTTCTGCAGAGAGAAAGAGAAAGGAGGCAGACGCCACATGGGCACCAAGAGCAATCCAGGATTGATGACCTTTGTATGTGTCAAAATTTGCACATCTCCAATTTTGCAGTACAGTCCTCCTACCAACAAAATGGGACAAGGAGAAGCCACTCATCTATAATGCTGACCAAATACCCAGCAGTCTCCTCCTGCATTCATGTACACAAGTAGAGGGTGGACAAACCTGTCATTTATCCCCTATCCATTTCTAATTTTTCAAATCTTTTGTACCATTTGCCCCATTTATGAATCAGTTTGAATTTTTTTTCTTTAAAAATGCATGAAAATTCATAGGCACTTGCATACACATTGCTCCTATTCCACACATTGTCGCAAACAATTCCCCCTAACATAATGCATTTTGCAGTATTATTTCCAGTGATGTATACATATTGTGTGCAATTATCTCTAATCTGTGCAGTTTTGTACAGACTGATTTCTTGCCCTGTGAACAAGGATTCACAAATATCATTTTGGATTACTAGACAAACCACAATTTTCTCCTCAAAGGAAGATTAGGCAAATCTTACAATTTCAGTTTCTCTCCATTTCTCATTTTTAAGTTCATTTTACCACAAATCCGCATCACTTTCTGAGGGTGTTTTTTTTTTAAAGTCGTCATGAAAATGTATAATTTTGGTGTGAATTTCTCGTAATACATACATTTTTATACAATTTTGCATAATCTAAGCATTTTTGCAAAGCATTTTCCTTACATAAATCTTCTTTCTTTCTTATGTTAGTTTCACTAACAGATGCACACTTTAACCCAGTGTATGCATTTCTGTGTACAGGTAACTCTCATCTTACTCAAGCATTTGGTTCTGGGGGTCCAAACATACAAGAAAAAACACATAAAGCCAGGAGCCCCTGGGAAGGCAGATCAAGAGCTCTGCCAGGGCCCTTCTGCCATAACCCCAAATCCCAGTAAGCACTTGCCCAACTTTGGGAAGGAGACAGGAGAGCTCTAGGACCCCGACAGAACCCTTGAGCCTCATTTCCAAAGCAGTGGGCATTGCTTATCAAGTTTTGGGAATGTGGCAAGAGGGCTCTGAGATGCTGCCAGAGTCCCAGCTTTGTGCAGGTGTATGGGGGAAATAAATGGAGAGTGGGTTTCCACAGTTCTCCATCCATCCACCCACCCACCCACCCACCCACCCATTTACTTACTTACTTACTTACTTTCCCTCCCACACTCCCTGCCTCCACATACCTGCACAAAGCTGTGGTCATGTAAGTAAAGTAAGTGTAAAATGAGAGTTACATGTTCATTACTTGGCTGGAGAACAGCACTGCAAAAATTTGAGAACTGTGAATTTAAAAGCATGGCATTGTTTCAGTTCATGTACTGTTTTGCAAAGTGAGTATTACGTAGGTTCATGCTTAAATGGGAAGTGAATTGAATTTGTCTTCCTTATGCTCAAGTAAGCATAGAGGGCTATAGAGAGAGCTGGAGTCTTGCCAAATTTGCACCAATGCTCAGATGAGGGGAAAAAAGATGTGCACCCTTCTTACACAGAAAGTGATATACAATAAGCAAGTTGAACTCTTAATGCATGGATCAAGCATTCTCTAAATACAGTATATCACCCCTTACATAAATAAGGGTGACCAGTACCTTTCTCGTGGCAGCTGGTGGTTAGGGTTGTGCCGGCAACGGATACTGAGGCCGAAAAGCTTGCGGGCAGTGCGCTGGATCTTCTGGCGTTGGGTCTCCATGGAACTCTGCAGGAGTTTGTACTGGTTCTGAAGGTCCCAGTCATTCCCCCAGTGTTGGTGGATACTTCCAATGGTCAGGAAATGGTTGTTAGGTAGCCTCTTCATGAAAGATTTAAATTCGTCTGTGAAATACACAAAGACACATATAAAGCCAAGAACAGAGAAAGGGCTGAGTTGTTGTTGTTCTTGTTTTTTGGGGGGTAGCATTATGCCCTCTTTAATTTTCTATTATTTTTTATAGTTTGGCAAACTTTGGGGAGAATATGAAATTATTGGTAGAGCCCATATATTGCATGTGTGAGGTCCCAGGTTCAGTTCCTGGCATTTCCAGTTAAAACAGGGGTGGGAAATCTACCGCTTGGGACATTCCCCAGGCTACATCCCCTACTATCCTCACTTCATACTCTCCTTTAGTATTTTGACCTGCTAACTGCCCAAGAACTCTGATAATGCTTCTTGCTTGCCTGGATGGATAGATGGTGTGTGTGTGTGTGTGTGTGTGTGTGTGTGTGTGGTATACGAAGGTAAATCTCACATTTCCCCCCAAGCCTGGATTTGCCAGTGGTGCTGCCTATCACTAGTAGTAGGTTTGCCCAGAATAGAATGTGGCCCTCAAGTTGAAAGCAAGGTCCCCCATCCATGAGTTAAAATGACCAGGAACCAGGTGATGGAAGATATCTCTGCCTGAAACCATAGAGAATGGGAAGCCAACATGACACCCTCCAGATGCCATTAGACTACAAATCCCATTACCCACATCCAATATTGCCAGTGGCCATGGCTGATGGGATTTGTCATCTAACAGCATCTGGAAGGCCATAGGTTCCTCATCTTTCCTTTAGTATGTGCAGAATACATTTCCTAGACCAGGATTGGGGACACTGTGGCCATCCAGAAGTTGTTTGATTTCAACTCCTATCAACCTCTTACAGCATTGCAGGTCAGGGATGATAGGAGTTGTAGTTCAACAGCATTTGGAGGGCACCACGTTGGATACTCATAGTCTTGTTGACTATATCTGCCCTAGATAAGCTGCTATCAGTTGGAGCAGATGATACACAGCCAGCTGGGCAAATATCTGGGCCTGGTATAGGGTAGTTTTAATATGCAATGCCTTTGAAAACCACCTTCTCCTTTCCTCTTCATTACCTGAATTCTCCAGGTCTTTGTAGGCTTCTGTCCAAGATTTTGCCATGTTGGCCAAGGTGTATTCCATGATCTGAATGTCGGTGATGGGACAGTTGCACTGTGGGAATTCTTCTGCACACTGACATCCACACTGGCTGTCTCGGCATATATATTCTCCCTCTCCGTTGCACATTATGTAGCTCAATGCTGACTGCACAAATTTCTCTTGTAAATACTGAGGAAAGATTAGCTGGAGGCCTATTGAAAATAATTGAGCGTAAGAAAAGAGACAGTAAAAATTCAAGGTCCAACTCAACCCTCAACATTCTGAATATCCTGGAAGCTGACAGGTCTTTGTCTTGTTTCATTCATTTGTTTCCTTTTTAATTGCAAACATGCATACTTCATTGTACCTATGGACACTCCTGCATATGTAGAACCTGCTACCTTCTTTTTAGGTGCTCCCACATTCTGCTTCCAAAATGACAGGCACTCAAGTCACTTGAGTTTGCTATTAGAAGGAGTGGCGTATGGGTTCTATTTGTGTTTTTATTTATTTATTTATTTATTTATTATTTAATTTATTAGCAGTTCAGGGATTGTGGCTAGTGGCAGCAAAACCTTACCGTGAGATTACAGTATAAGCAAGGAATTTAGGGCACGGAAAACTGAGGGTAGTTCAGCTTGGATTCTGCTGAGTTGAAAATCTTATCACATCAGCCAGCTACTATAAGGTTATGCTGTGACATATGAAGCTCTAGAAGGCACCATTTAGAACATCAAACACAAATGGATATAAAAGGAGAGTGTCCAGTTCAAATGCCTTTCTGTCCACTCTGTATAGCGATGCTAGCAATGGAAGGCGTCAGGCTGCAAGGCAGGTAGACTTGCATCTACTCTGGCTCAAGGTCAAAAATCAAGGCATTTCCTAAGGCTGCTATACATTCACCACATATTGTTTTGGAAAGTGTGAATTAGGAAGGTTCACTTCTGAATGGATCAGACTACAGTAAGCCCCCAATTGGCACTTGCTTTACTTACACGTTTGCGGCCTTATGTGGTTGGGGTAAAAAATAAGTAAATGCTCTTCATTTATTTCTCACCTGTACACCCAGCTGGTTTTCCTCCCTTACCAGGCTTTGGGAAGAGAGAAAGAGGGTCACACAGCACCCAAGAACCCCCACACGACCTCCCCGGACCCCAGTAAGCAGCCCTCTGCCTTGCAGGCGTGTGTGTGTTTCAGGGGCTCCTGACTTTCCACATTTTTCCTTGTGTGTGGAGCCCTAGAACAGAACCTTTGCAAAAATGCCTTGAGTTCCTTGGCAGAAGGGCAGGATGAAAAATGTTAAGCAGGGGTAGGAACACCTCTTGCTTGGGGGGGGGGGTGAATGTGGTATACCTGCCCTCTCCCTCTGGCCCTCAGGAGTCTCCCCAGGCCACAACCCTCACTGGCCCCTTTTCACACTTCCTCAAGTATTTTGTTTTCCTGGCTGGAATATGCCCCCAGAGCAGCTCAGACCATGCCCCTTGCTTGTCTGGATGGAGGACATAGAGTTGGGTGTGAGTGTGTGTAGAAAGTAGCTTACTGTACAAAGGCAACACTTACATTTGTTGCTCCAGCCACTTTTCCCTCTGATGGCCTGGGATGTGGCCCCTAGCATGCTCCACAAAAGGGAATGTGGCCCTCAGGCTGAAAATGGTTCCTCACTGCTGATGCAGAGGATGAAATACTAGCCTGCAACTATGAAGGGAAAATGCCACCTGCACTCATGGACTTTGCTTTCATCATTCACTGACATATGAATGAATGGAGAATGCCCTGGTTTTGTCAGCATTGTTTTCATAGACTCACAGAATCATGGGCATGGGGCTGGGGCTAGGAGGGGACTAGCCCCAGGTGCACATTGAAAGGACACAAACAAGGCGCTCCCACACAGGGATCCCTGTTCCGCCCCACCTGGCTGGCATGTCCCCAGCCCCCACGTTGGCTGGCTGGGCAGGCAGGTGGTGCAGCACGACTCTGCTTAGCTCCGGTGGCGAGAAATGGGCTGGCGTGGCAGGCTATGTGAACTCTACACACTCCACCCAGTGCACACCTGCTTGGTAGTGTCAGCGTTAAGGGGTGAACTGGCACGGCGGGTTCCATTTGCCCTTAGTGCCCTGCCCAGCACACACCCCAGGTGCCAGGAAATGCTGCAATGCCACTGCACATAATTGTAGAAGTGGAAGGGACCCCAAGAGTCATCTAGTCCAACCCCCTGAAATGCAGGAACCTCAACCAAAGCATCCATGACAAATGCCCATCCAACCTCTGCTTTAAAACGTTGAAGGAAGGAGAGTTCACCACCTCTTGTGGGTGTCTGTTCTACTCCCTAACAGCTCTTACTGTTCTTCCTGATGTTCCACCGGCATCTCCTTTCTTGTAACTTGAATCCATGGGTTCAAATACTACCCTCCAGGGCAGGAGAAAACAGGCATTCTCCATCTTCCATGGGACATGTGGGTCAAGGAATAAGAATACAAGGTGGTGCTTCCAAGGTCTCTGTGTGGAGCCAAAATCCCCCTGTCTGGCCCAAGGCTTGTGCAGGCCTACACACACAATACATATATTTCCATTAGCTCTCTTTAGATCATATTCTGCAGCTTTCTGTTTGTGAGCCAGAGGCTCCAGGAGGATTCCCAGCTGTTTCCTCACACCTGATCAGTTCTGCTTGTCAGACTCACGTCAGTTTCTGGCAGCATGGGAAGCAGTACAGAAAGTGAATCCTTTATGATAATTCCCTTACCCAGATTTGTCTGGCCTCATCGTCAAAGTCTGGGGTTTTCAGGCTGGCAGATTAAAAATGAGTCTGAGACACCAACAAGCCCCAGTGAACTACAGGCATAGAGAAGGTGGGCTGGTCAGTCACCCATCCTGTTTGTGCCATTGTGGTTCTGCATGGCACTTTTCTAAAGCTGCCAGCCCACCAGAGGAGAGGGGGAAAGAAGTCAGGATTCACAAGGTGGAGCTGGGCAAAAAGGAGAGGACAGTTGTGGGTGCATCCTAGAGTTTGAGTCCTGTCCCTGGGAGGGGTTACTTTAGTGACCTAGAGAGGTTGGCAAAAACCTTAACTGGAAAAGGCTCAGCTGAAATCCACCCCACCCCTGGCCAGGCAAAATTCACAACCATGTTTGCTGTCTGTGAACAGCCCACTTCCCCTTTTGTTAATTTTCATGAGGGCAGGCAGGCTGTGAATGGGACTTATGTGTCTATCCCACTTACTGATTAATGTGCTGGACTGGGAAACCAGTATCAAATCCCCACTTGGCCAGAAAACTAACTGAGTGGCCTTGGGACAGTCGCCATCTCACCATCTCACTTGCTTTCACAGGGTCATTGCAATGATAAAATAGAGAGAGGGAGAACTGGGTAGCTTGAGTTTTCTAGAGGAAAGGTGGGATTTTAACTTAGTAAATAAATGTCCAGCTCCTGCTGGGTACCCCATTATCTTACCCAGAAGAAGAGCAGACATGTTTGCCTTCAGTCTGATTTGGCTCCATTATGATTCTGTGTAGCTGCTAGTCATTATTTCTCAGTCTTGCAGAGTTGCTGCGAGGACAAAGTGGAGCAACTCGCTCCTCTGCATGCCAGCAATAATTTGGCCTCCACACTGCCTGAAGCCAAATCAGAGTGAGGGCAATAGTTCACCCCCTCAATCTAGCATCTTGGGTGGGGGTGGGTGGGGAAAAGAAGAAGAAGACGAAAGTAGGCAAAAACTGAGCAGATGGGGCACCCAACAAGAATAGGGACCATGGCTATAGTAAGTGCAGCCAGGACACAAATAGCCAGTGAAGAAGAGGGTTAAAAGGGATGAAAGGAGCACAATTTTAAAATAAATACGTAAATAAAATGCCTTATATAGTACTCATTCCAATACAAAAGGAATTCTGGACTAAGTCTTACTAGCTGCTACAGAATCTGACAGATGCTCAGCAGTGTATGAGGTACGTAGAATAGAACAGAAATGCTACGTAGTGAGGATAAGAAAGGCTGAGGTTCAAATCCTGACTGCAAGGCAGTAGAGGCTGGGCCATATGGCAAATGGGGCACTGCTCTCTCAATCTCAGTCTGCCCTCAGCCAGCACTTCCCTCTCGCCTGCCTGCCTTCCTACCTAACAACCTGTGTAGGAGCGTCGCTCTGACTGACAGCCTCCTCTCCCTTAGTCTCATTGTTGTCCCCTGTAGAATTCAGCAGGTAGGAATTCCAACCCTAGCGGTTCCAACCAACACCAGCCACCACTGCACCAGGGGTGATACTTTCTCACACAAACCTACCTTACAGGGTTGTTATGAGAATAAAAATGGGGTGCCTCTATGAGCTCTTCAGACAGAGAGCCAGATGTAGATAATTATGATCTCTCCAATAGCAAGTTCTGGGGACAAGTGCCACCAGGAATGTGGGCACCAAAGAACAGGAGGGAGGTATCAGCACAGTTGGTGTGCTGGTGTACAGTTAAACCGTGTTTGAAGAAGTTATAGACAACAACAACAATGAGATCTTCAGACTGGAGAATCTGTGGCTAGCTGGCTGGAACCCTGAACAGAAACACTCTTATAAGGAGGTGAGAAAATGCTGCAACATTTTGTTGAAGGACCCGCTTGTTCATATTGGTCATAATGATTCATAGAAAACAGGCCACTGTCTTCTGGGCTGCCTGTCCAGATTAGAACTCCTTGCCCAATGGCAGTGAATCACCCAGTTTTGTCTGACCCAATTTTCAAGCAAGAGGGGAGCAGTGGCAGCTGTCAGAGAGGATAAACATAGCACTGCAGTCAATAGGAATGATATATGGGACACAGCAGGAAAGGGGAGGGCCATGGCAGCAGATTCAGGTCACGATCTTTTTCCTTTTTTCCTCACAAGAAAAGGACATGTCTAGCACCTGCAGATCCTACTGAATTGAGCTGGGAATTATAATCCTTAAGTAGCTTCCATCTCTTCTCTCCCCCCCCCATCTCCCTCCTTCCCTACTCCCCCCCCCTCCACATTTTGAGAACTTATAGATTCAGCATCAGCAAAACAGCACTAGGCAAGTTAGCTTAGAAAAAGGCACCTCAAGGAAGCAGCATAACAGGGTGAGCCAGCATGCTATCCACCCAATGTCACTGGACTCTAACTCATATCATCACTGACCATTTGCCATGCTGGCTGCAGCTGATAGGGGTTAGGGCTGATGGAAGACACTATGGTGCAATGGTTAGAGTGCTGGACTAAGAG